CCATTCTTTTTTTTTGGTTTTTCTAATTCTTTTAGTATTTTTAATTTAGTTATATTTTTAATTAATAATTTAAAGTTTAATAGTGTTTTATTTGGTTTTTGTTGTTGTTGTTTTAAATACATAATAAAAATTGTTTTCTTGTTTTAAGTATTTTTTTTTTTTTTAATTTAATGGAAGACATTCTTTTTATACAAGTTTTAAGACACAGAAAATGTTTTTAAATTTTTTTTGTTTTAATCTTTAGTGTTTTTTTCTCATTTAAATAGTTTTTTTTTTATTTAATTAATTAATTAATTTTTAATAGACAAATAACAATAAATACATTGACTAAAAAATGGAAATTATAGGAGTTTTTAATTTAAAAGCAAGTTGTTGTTATTCCTTAATTGTTGTTAGTTGTTTTTTTTTTTAAAGAAAAAATTAACCATACAAAAAATAATTATAAAATACCATTAATATAATTGTAAAAAAAGTTGTTGTTGTTTTTATTTTTTGCTTAAGAAACTTTTCATTATTTTTTATAAACAAGATATGTTTGTTTGTGTTGTTTAATTTAAATTTTGCTTAATTTTTTTTTATTACCAATTTTTAAATGTTCAAAAATGTTTAGTTTTTTCTATAATTTTTATTAATAATTTTATTAATTTTTATACATTTTTATGTTGTTTTGTTTGTTAATTTTTTCGGTTTAAATCTTAAAATATTTTTGTGTGTTTTTTTTTAGGGGGAGTATACAATTTCTGTTATTTTTTTCTTTTATATTAAACCTTTATTTAAGGTAAAATTTATAAAAAATAAAATTTTTTATATTTTGTTTTTTTTTAGTTTTATTAATATTAATAATTGAAAAATTTTCGTTATTACTGAATTTTCATGTCATCTATGTATTGCTTGGTTTGGAGCACAGTGTAACAAGTTGATTAAAAAATGTTAGATGGAAAAACAGAAATGAGAACAGTATTATTCAGAACTATTCATTTTAAGGGGCTCAAGTTTTATTAGCTGATATTTTAGAAAGATAAGCGAGGCGTCGAATTTCTGGCTAGAAATTTTTGGAAGAATTCCAAGAACCTTAGCAAATATTGAAGATGTTAAAAAAAACTATTTTCTATTTTATTCAAGTTATAGTGAGCTTTATATATGGGCTATTGTGGACCGATCCTCATAAAATTTTATACAGCGATTTTTTTTCATATAAAACTTGCGCCGATCCTTATAAAATTTGTTAGACCTATTCTGGTTTATATACATCTTGCTTATGTCGAAATTCTTCGCTGTACTCATATTATTATTCCAGTACTGAGCGTTAAAGTAAAGGGGACCTTATATGGGTGAAAGGGGCAATTTAGGACAGATCCTCATTCTATTTGGTAGAAAGTTTCTCCCAAGTTAGGTACTTATTTGTGTTGAATTTCATCAATATATTCGTATTTTAAGCCAGTATTGAGAGTTAGAGTCATTTTCTGTAGGGGACATTATATGGGCGGTAAGGTCACTTATGGATCGATCCTTATAAAATTTAATAGAGAAATTTTGTGACATATGAAACTTATTTATGTTGAATTTAATCGCTATATTCGTATTTTGAAATCAGTAATGAGCGTTAAAGTAATTTTCGGAAGCGGACTTTATATGGGGAGTTGGGTCAATTATGCACCGATCCTCATAAAATTTAATAGAGAAATTTTGTGACATATGAAACTTATTTATGTTGAATTTAATCGCTATATTCGTATTTTGAAATCAGTAATGAGCGTTAAAGTAATTTTCGGAAGGGGACTTTATATGGGGAGTAGGGTCAATTATGGACCGATCCTCATTTCTGGCCATACGAAACTAATTTATGTCGAATTTAGTCTCTATATTCGTTCTTTTTTAACAGTTATGTCTGCTTAAACTGTATTCCGGGGGCCACTTGTATGGGAGCTCGGTGAAAACATCAGCCGATATTGCCCATTTTCAATACCAAACAAACTGCAGAGATACGGAATATTTGTGCAAATTTCAGCTCCCTATATTTCCGTTCGGACTCTATCGTGCTTTCAACAGACAGACGGACATGGCTATGTCGTCTTAGAAATTAATAAGGACCCAGAATATATATACTTTTCTGGGTATGTAACCAATATTTCGATGTGTTACAAACAGAATGACAAAAACAATACACACCCATCTTTTTTGAAGGTGGGTATAAAAATGTGAAAATTCGGAAAATCTTTTCCGAAGAAAATCATTTTAAAAACGTGTAGGTTTGAACACAAAGCATCAAGATCTTTAAATTTTCTAGAAAGTCAAACATAATCCGGGAGACGAATATTCTCTAAAAAATAACACAAACTCAAAGCAAATAAACATTGAGTTACTCGGTATCAGGTTCTAACGTAGCATTCTCACACATATAACATATAACGGTTACCGTATCCATTAATTGAGAAGCCTTTGGGTTCCAAAATAATGAGAAAAAAAAACTGACAATTAACCCTTCAGAACACTATTATTGTACCATAAACTAGATTTCTGAGGCTTATTGAACCGACTTTAAACGGGTCTATCATTAAGTTCTCTGAAAAAGTCAAATACCTAAGGACTATTCTCGATAAACCCCTAAATTGGAACTCACATGTATCTAAAACTATCAACAAAGTCATTAGAGCATTACACGCCTGTCAAAGGCTATTTGTTAGTAAATGGGTTTTAAAACCGAACATGATCTGGTGTACTTTAAATACCAAAATAAAGTCCATTTTGATTTATGCTGCCTTGGCCCTGTGTGCAAAAAGGTGGGACAAGTGGGACCACTCAAGATTGGTTTACTGACGGGTCCAAACAAATGAAACTTCACATTTACGACATTTAAAATTCTTATACATGAAAACTATATCAGCTCTTAACTACCATTTAAAGATGATATTCGGTCTAGGTATTGCTTTAACGAGGTGTAATAGCTATCTCCATAGCACGGAGAATATCTACCAGCTGATCAAAGGCACATTTTAATTGCTGCATATAGCAGATATGTACATCTGATATATCAGGCTATTGCAACATAAACAGACAAAACCTGCTACCTAAATAGTGATATGATCCAGCAGACCAAACATTTAAATGAAATAATATATGGATCCAAGTGAAATATACTACAGGTTGCATGTTGGAGTAAGAGGGTAAGTATGTAGGTAAGGCCGTCTATCCTTCTGAAAAAGTCGTATAATAATATAGTGATCAAATTTTTCTATTGAGGCTAGCTAAAAGTCTAGACCTAACAGTTGTATCAAACAGTGTCCAACATTTTTGAATTGATGCATTGTGTTATTCGTTTAAAGTCGGGTGTAATAAGTGAATACTAGATTGGCAAAAAATGTCTGATATTTTTGAAATGTGAAGTGGTTATCAATCATTTTAATACTCCTAAATAAGTATTAAGAAATCCAAAGCTCTTGATATATTGGGCATGACAATACCATGCATTGTTCGCGGAACTAAACAAATTTGTTATGAAGTTTCTCTATCTCTCTATATAGTGGCTTGCTTAAAGCCCCGACCGGTCGAGACCTCAACCTGATTGAGAATTTATTGTCAAACTTGAACCAATTTGGATGTGTTTATACCCTACACCACTTTAGTGGGGAGGGTATATTGGATTTGTGCTGATGTTTGTAACATACAAAAATATTCGTCCTAGACCCACCTTAAAGTATACCAATCGGCTTAGAATCGTTTTCTGAGTCGATTAAGCTATGTCCGTCCGTCTGGCAGGCTGGCTGGCTGGCTGTCCATGTAAACCTTGTGCGCAAGGTACAGGTCGCAATTTTCAAGATAATTGGATGAAATTTGGCACGCACGTTTTATTTGACCCAAGGACGAAGCCTATTGAAAATGGTTGAAATCGGTCCATTATTTCACCTAGCCCCCATAGAACAGAACCCCCCGAAAAGGGCTTTTGAGCTCATAATTTTGTTAAATTTACAGATATATCGATGAAATGCGGCACAACTAAGTTTTATAGAAGTCTGGATGACCCTACCAAATTTCATAAAGATCGGGCCCCATTTGACCCTCGGGCCCCATTTGACTCCCATACAAAGTCCCCTTCAGAAAATTACTTGAATGTCCCAAATTAACTTATAAACACAAATATTGCGATGAAATTTAGCACAATAAAATATTATGTAAATATAAATATATTCACAAAATTTTATCGGGCTTGGTCCATATTTGCCCCTAGCCCCCATATAAAGCCTCTTTCAGAAAATTAGATTTTCATCCATAAATTGCTTAAATGTATCGGAACAAGGGAATATTGAAGGTAAATGCTTTATTATGAAAAATAAATCACATTTAATATTCATAACTGGTGTAGGGTATCATATGGTCGGCCACGCCCGACTATACTTTCTTACTTGTTTTTTTTGGTAACGGATTGAACCCGAATGGGATATTATTCTAAATAAAGTTACTAATTGCAAAATTGGGTAGAGTTAAGAAAAGGTTATGACGTAACAGAGGACTTTAGACGATATGTTAATAATATTATTACTTCCCTCAGATATGAATCGGATAGAATCGTTTGTCTTCTGAACAATTTGCAATAAGCTTAAAGTGTTTTTTAGAAACTTTATATTAAAACTTTTAAAATAATTTTGAATTCAAAATAAATTTTTTACACTGTGCTACTATTATTTTAAAATTTCATCAATATATGTGGAGTAAAATTATTTTAAGGATTTGGTTTTTTTCTTATACATTTATATGTAAAAAAAAAAATTCAAAGAAAAATGTAATTCAAATAGAGATTATGTTTTGGTTTTGTTTTTGCTTTTGATATGAAAAATTTCAGTTAGATTCAGTAAGTCTTTTAATTTAATTATTTTTTTTTTTTTTTTTTGGTTTTTATAATGTTAATTCCTTTAAAAAAAGTAGTTTTAAAATTAAAAACATTTACATTTTGCTGGTTTAAATATTTTTTTTCTTTTGGTTTTTTGCATAATTGTGCGTTTTTTTTATAAATTCAGTGCAAAATTAATACAAAACTGTTTGGTTTTTTTTTTTAAATTTTTGTTCTTTTGTTACTAATTTTAAATTAAAAATTTAATTAAAATTAAATGCTTTACTTTTTTTGATATACATTTGACTACTTTTAGGTGTGTATGTATGAATGGTGTGTCTGAGTTGATATGAAAGTTTTCTATATTGTTTAATAAATTAAAAATTAAAATTTAATTTTTATGTTAAGTTTTGTTTTTATCAATGAAATAATCGGTAGGAATTTCTGTATTTTCTGTATATTTTTGGTTTTTTTTCAAAAGATCAACACTATTTACACAAAAATTATTTTATTTTATTTTTATTATTGGATTATTTAGTTTTTAGTTAATTCTATTAAATGTTTTTATATCCTTTAATTAAATTTAACTTTCTTGTGTGTTTTGTTTTTTGCTCTTAATTAGTTTTTTGTTTAATTACCAATAATAACTTTTTCATAAATCCTTTTAACTACTCTTAAGACATTAAGACTAATAATATTTTATTTATTATTATTTTTTTTTTATTTTTTTGGGATTTTAGTTTAATTTTTACTGTTTATTTAAGTTAATTTTAGTTTTTAGTTGAAACATAACATTTTCTTTTATACCAACAATATATTTTTGTTTTGTTTTATTTTTTACTTAATTATTTATCATTATTTAAATAATTTTTATAAAAAAGAAAAACTTAGTTTTAACAAACTAAATGAGATTTCCTAGAAATTATTGTCTACATAATGAAAAAAATCATAGTTTTTATAGGCTTTACTTAACCCATTGTAGAACGAAAGAAATAGCAAGAAAATAGTGAAAGTTTTGAAAAATAACTATTTGAAGTATCATATAACACTTCTGAAATAAAGTAAAATTTAGAGAACTATATATCAATATGAATACCAATGTCCAAAATCTACCTTTATCCGATCAGTTATAGTATTATACCGTTATTATTGTATTTTTCATACTTATGTCCAATTGAATCTGTCATTTTATCTGAACTTTTTTTCGCTCCATTGATTAGGCTATTCACTACAAGTTGACTCATTAATTGATCGGTAATTGAATACAACTTTCAATTATGGACTAATGCTTTAAAGCAGTCCATAAATGAGAGTTGCTTAAGGTTTAGAAATTGTTATACTTCCTATTGATCTAGGCCATAAGTAGAGTTGACTGAACAACTGAATTGCGTATCATGCCTCTTACATTTCAAAAAAGTTTCCGGACAATCATGAGAACAGATTTCAACTAATACTAATGATGACTTTATCATCGAACATAGGGGAACACTTTTCCCGGTCCCCCTAGAATGGAATCCCATTTCAGAACCGTTACTTTAAAGTCTATTTGGGGAATACTCGACCATCGAACTGTAATGATTCTCTGGAGCACCGTAGCAATGTGGGATGTCTCTCTCTAAAATTAGAGATCTTGTTCCCGATACTCGCTGAGTTATAGGCAACTCTCGCCTTTCTCGATAAACACAACTATTCGTGGTTGATTGATCAGTAGATAGCACAACGTATTACAGGGAAAACCTGTTCTTTAACCGATCTCTTCAATAATAATCTTCTAGCAGATTTCATACAAACGTTTCCATCACAATGCACCGTCGCAATGTGGGGTATCTTCCTCTAAAATTAGAGATCTTGTTCCCGATACTCGGAAGGAGCAACTTTCCTATCTCTTGACAAACACACCTATTTGTGGTCGATTTATTTATAGATAGCACCAAGCCATTACAGGGAAAACCTGTTCTTCTTTTTGATGACATTTGCTATATAAGTAGATTTCAATCAAACGTTTTCATCACAATGCACTACAGAAGTAGGCCCTGAGTGTGGGTCCAAAAGAAAAAAATAAAGTCGATTCTTTAGACAAGTAGCTGCTAATGCCCCGTATTTCATGAATTAAGACGGAAAAAGTTTGGTCCTTGAATACTAACGGACAATACCTGTCTGTCTAAAAACATCCACGTATTCACCGGATTCTTGAACTTAATGTTGACAAATAGGATAAGGGACAAATTGGAGCGATACTGTAACTGGACCCAAGTGAGATTAAACCATTTCCTTTATGATATTTAGAAAGATGTATCAGCGAATTTATTAAAGTTCGACCAAATATAAAGCGTAGCAAATCAATCAGTTCCAAAAACGAAAGCATTGATTCTTCTCATGATCATTTCGTATAGATCTGACAGTCGTGTAAAAAGTAATTGTCTAGTGTCTCAAATTTATAGTTAGTACCGGGTAAAAGGTTGGCTTTTACAACTTTAACAGATTTCGTGATATGAGACATTAAATCTTCTAATTTGAAGCCCAAAATAGTTAGTAACCACCTATAGGTTCTGCATCTAAGCTTATTGTCATTATACTAGAGGAATGTCTCATCGATGACAATTTATAGGGTCTATTATGAAATTGACTTTTATCTCAGAAAATCGGTATCGCGACAACCACATTGCCCTCCACTGTTATTAGCCCAGCGAGTATTTTTTGAAAATTTTAATCATATTCGAGTCATTTATGACTCTTTTGCGGGATTAAAATGAATATATATGCGTTCATTTTCGGATCATAAATGATACTTTCATGGGGAGCATATGGTACCTTAGTCGCGACTCTTCTAAAAGAGTCTTTTATGAGAACTTCTTTTTATCTGTTCCGATTCATTTACGTATCTTTTATGAGTAATTTTTGAGTCGAATTTAGAATCTTTTTCGAATCATATTTTAGTAATTTTTGAGTCTTTTCTAATTCATTTTATAGTCTTTTCATATAGCATGTTTTGAAATTTATTTATCACATTCGAGTCAATTATGACTCTTCTGCACGATTAAAATGATTATGTGCACTTCTTTTGATCAGTTTCGTCTCATTTATGTATCTTTTTTGAGTAGTTTTTGTATCGAATTAAGAGTCTTTTTAGAATCATATTTATATGATTCTAAATGCAATAATACAGAAAATCGTTTTTGATCTTCCTGACTGAGCGAAATATACATAATATATAATAAATATATAAACAATCATATTTTCAACATCTGGATGATCAATTTATGATTGCTGTATATTTTGTTACTGTTTCTTTCAAATAATCAATTCATATATCGGCATCATTTTTGAATCTTCAACTCAATACTTAGTTTTAGGTCATTAAAAGGTGTCAAAAAAGTCTCAGTTTACTGATTAATCAACTAGATTTAGATGAGAAAGAGAGAGCCCTAAGCACTGAGACCCTGTTTTGGATCTTTTGTGCAGCCCATGGATTCACCTTAACAGGTTTAATTAACGTATGAAAATAACAGGTTTGATTGGTGAGAGTTTGAATACATATGTACATATATCCTTCGGGGCTAGTGTTGCAGCACCTAAGATTCTTTCCCGACGAGTCCTTAGTGTTGGACATTAATCACCTAACAATCCTCCAAATGATAGTTGGGTAGTGAAGCTCCTGTTTTTGCCAATAGTTCTGCTATATTTCTTTCTGGCAGCAGAGTTTAAGAGCTGAACCATCTTGTTCAGAGATGCACAATATTTAAGACCCATATAGTTTTTAAGCCATAGCCCAGTTAAAGTTTTAGCCAGTTTATAGTCGGTTTAATAGATGATATTTAAGACTGTGGAACGCTATATAGGTCAGGGAGTTAAAGTAAAGCTTGTAAACAGAAAAGGTTTGAAAACAGCTCTCGGATTAATGCCATGAGATGAGGTCCTGGTTATAAGTTCTCTATTCCTTATAGAAACCTCGTTATAATACATTTTAAGTTATTGTAATGAAGAAGCATCAAATTTTGTTAAAGTTTAAATTAAATTAAGAATCAGTTTATGTCTAGTGTGAAAAGAGGAAATGTGAATGAAATATTCAGAAAATCAGTTCCACTATTCTTTAGTAAAATCCGTTTCGAATAAAAGTCCGATAAGTTCTGAAATGGGTTAAGTTTCTTTTTGGAAAATAAATATCTAACTTAGTTTTATATTTTTTGATTTTAAACTAATTTCTAAATTATTTAGCATTAAACTAATATTTATCAATTCTTTTTTTTCGAATTTTTCTTATTTTTCTTTTTTTCAATTTGTAAGTTTGTAGGTACAATTACATAATTTACTTAATTAATTTTAATTTATGTTTCATTGTTTATATTTTGTTTGTAATTAAATTTTTAAATTTCTAACAAAAATCTAGGTTGCTGTTGTTGCGGTCGTTTTACTAAATAAATTCTCTTGTCATTGTTTTATTTATTTTTTTTTTTAATTTTTTTAAGGTTTTGGATTTGCAAATTCTGCTTAATTTCAATTCATTGTGAATGAATAATAAAAAATATATATATTTTTGTTCTTTAATGCAAAAAACATGACACGTCCCTTTTAAATTTTCTTTTGTTTGGTTTACACTTACAGAAAAAATATGATTTTTTGGTATAGTTTGTTATAATTATAATTATTTCAAAAAAACTAATTTATCTTTTCTTTTGTTAAAAAAAATTATGAAAAAATAAATCTAATTTTTGTTTTTTCATGTTTTTTTTTTCTAAGTGTATTTTATGAATGTTTTTCTGCTCAGTGTAGTCATGTAATTATGTTGGCTGTAAATGATGACTTAAAAAACAAAATGGCGTCATATATATTTTGGTGTCTGCGTATGTATGTATATGGGTGTCTGCTAAATCTGAATTTAATTCATTTAGTATCACGCATTTGTTAGCAATAGTGTCACTAGGATCATGACTACGTGGGAGATTAAAATTGATGCTGGATTTTGTAGAAGATTTGTACCTTTACCACACTGTTGTATTTCAATTTCTTCCGGATGATAATTTATACATTTGCGGGGTCTTCGACGTTTTTGGGTTTCTTGCGATTGACGTCGGGTACTGCAGGCTCCTAAGAGTAAAAGATCAACAAAATTGATATGAAAAGTTCCAAAATTGTTATAAATTTCACCTTTCTTTGAACCCAACAACTTACCCACTATACCCGACTCCTCCATAGGTTCAATATCCAATTGTTTGGAACCACAAGGACATAAAGTATCCACTACTAACAGTATTAAATTACTGTGTGGTATTTTTTGCACACTAAATGGTCGCTCACATCCCGACACATGACAATTAGTTAGTTTACCCTTAAAACAGAAATATATATTTCAAAATTTTTAACTCCATAATCTTGAAAATCTTCAAAAATTCTAAACTCACCTTTAAAGGATTATTTTGACCACCTTGATTTAATCTTTCCGGTTGCAGCATATATAAATCGGTGCGTAAATCACAACGGCGGGCATTATTAGGATCGGGATTAGAGCGAGGTCCTACATGTGGCTTATGTTGTTTAGGAGCGGGTGTGGTATATTCCTAAAAATGTTATAAATTATTGTCATAAGCTCAAAAATCTTAAAACCAATAAATCTTACCACATCGGCGGTGGTAAACATTTCATCCATTTCCTCATCAATAGGTGAACTATAGTCATCCTCGAATGGTTCATAATCATCTGGATAGGTGGGTTCTTCAAAGCCTTCTTCGTTATAGCTGTAATCATCCTGTGGCCAGGCCTTAATCGGTGTTGGCAGCATTGATAGCCAAGTGGCACTTAACGATAAAATATACTTAAATAGCCAGGAAGCGGCTCGGTGAGGTCGTATCATAACACCATCGGCCGTATAGGGATTATCAGCATTGGAACATACACCTTGATAATCATTGACTGTGACACGTTTATAAATGCGATCCTGCACCAGTGAATCCATAATGGTGCCATCAATTTGTCCAAAGAATTTACCCGTGTGTTCGGGTTCCTCGGATATAATAACAAAGCCACTATTGTCTAAAACATAACAGTCTAAGTTATCGGAAGCACAAGTACGCTTGCAGCCAGTCATGCCAGTGCACTGTTCATATAATAGAAAACAAGAAATAAATTTCTGAACTATTTGTAACTCTTCTCCCCCCACAGTTCTACTTACAGCCGATGTTATACTTATAAAATGTTTAGCCAAAGAGTCGTGTTGAAATTGTAAACCCACTACAGCGGCGGGTGCTTTGTGGCCTCGATGTTCCACAAATATGGCATGTGAGGCAGTCACTAAAGTTGAATTAGTTTTAGTATTATAACCCGAACCAAAGGGTACACTATACACAAAACTATCCTGTTCGACGGTATGCTGATCAATAGCTCTCTTATACCAGGACATATCCATGGCCCGGGCATTATCTTCACTAAAATGTCTGGTTATCATACAAAATATATATATTTAACATGATTTTTAATATATATGGTTGGAAATGCTTACGGTTCTGGTGAATCTTCAGCCGCCTTGATGTGATCAATCCATCTTAAGAGTCCCGATCGTGTGGCCACAAATGATGTGGTCACCACAAATTTTTGATAGCCTTGCCTGTAAAAGGAAAAGTGTGAGATTAATATGTGATTGGTTTAGGGGTTTCCAGACTTCTTTGGATTTGGCAATAAGTGGAAGAACATTGAAGGTTATAGCAATTTGAAGGCAATACTATTGATCCAAGTTTTCTCTAAACAGCTTTTCAATATATTTACCTTAGGACTTACAGTTTAACTACTAAAAATATTAGAATTGTGCATTTTTTAGATTGTCTGTGCTTATACGTAAAATATGACCTATTTCTTATAATTATTATAATATTTAAAATCCAATAGAATGTTTTCCAAATCCTCAAAAGTAAGAAATCCGTCACATAAGGCAAGAACATGTTGAAATAGTGTTGGATATAGTAGTATATAACCGAGAGGTTGGACTTTTAATGATCAGGGCACTAAAATCTACACTGCCTGATATCTGCATGGACTTTCAGGCAGAGATATATAACATCGGTACAGCCGCGAGAAGAATCCGTGAACTGAATGACGAAAATCAGTCTACACATATCTACTTGAACAACCTTTCATCAACAAGGTTCTTAACTCCAAAGTTATTACGTCAAAATGTCTTCTCAATGTCATCACATTGACCATCCCGGGAAATGGTATATCTAATGAATGCTCAACCAAAGTATCGCCCCTAGACTTAACTCTTGCACAAAGTGATATTCAAACTTCCCTGGTGACCTTGTCGAAATTGATAGACGAATAGGCTTTGAATGAGACGGAACTCAGGTGGTCCAATATAACCACTTGTAGAATCTCCATACTGCTATGGCCCACTCTGACAAAGAATAGGACTAGGACTCTCTTGACTTTTAGTAAGAACTCGATTAGACTTCTCACAGGTATAATTGGGCACTGCATGATTGGACACATATCGGCACGTAAGGGCTTCCAAGTTGTTTGAATAAGGATATATCGGCACGTATGGGCTTCTCAGTTGTTTGAATGAGGATAAGGAGGAATCGGTAGAACACCTTCTATATATCTGCCCAGCCTTACAATAGCACAGACTACTATATCTTGGTAGAGTTCTTTTCCATGATCTGTCTCGGATATGCTTCACTAGTAGACATTATCAAATTTATTACAAGTATCGGCTGGTTCTTACGGGGACCACATGAACCCATAGGTTAGGTTTGGTTAGGTTGATAGGATGATGTATAGTACATCAAATCCGAAGAAATACACCTAGGCTACTATCGGGCCTGTTGTGCGCTTCTTTTCATGAAGAGTATATTATTTTTAAATGTTCAGAAACTCAGTTTCCTGGACGTAATTCCTAAGAATTTTCCGTGTTAGTCAGGAATGTTATTTCCGGAATAACATCACTTCCAAGATACTTGAATCTAACTTCTACGAATGCCTGACAGTGGCAAAGAAAGTGCTTCAGAGTTTCACTGTCCTCTCCACATACTCTACATTCGTCTGAATCCGCATGGCCAATTTTGTATAGATGTGCTCGTAATCCTGTGTGTCCACTCAGAATACGTACCATCATACTAACTTCAGACTTGCTCATTTTCATTATTCCAAGAGGCCTTATGGGATTCTCTCATCCATATTTTTAATTCAGCCTTTGTTGCGTCGAAAGATTTTGCGTTTGTCAGGTTAACTACCTCGAGTTCCTTTCCCTTTAAAGCTATTACATTCACCTTTTCGTTGCTAACTACTCCCGATTGGCCTGGTACCCATATATGCAAACCTTACCTCTGGGAGAGTATTCAGTTAAAGCTTTCTTACAATCCAATACGGTCTTAGATTTAATTCTATCACCTGATATCGCCGTAATTGGCCCTTCTGGCAATTTACACATTACGTTATTGCTCGAACTTCTACCTGGAAGCTTGTGGTATGATTAGGTAAACGGTGGTATATTTATGTTTCTGGGTCTTCAATATAGAACCCCCAATTTAGAGCCATTCGTGTAACAATGGATTCCTACTTTTATTTGCTCTAGTTTTCCGCTTGACTAAGATATTCTATCTGGGATCAGCGTTTCAAAGTTTCCGATATATTTAGTGTCTGGTATGCGATTACGCACACCCGATGATTGTGTATAACCTTCCAATGTAACCAGTATACATTGATGATGTGTCCTATAACAGCTTTTGGCCAGTTCGCCTAAAGTAAAGAGCCGTTCGACAGCAAGCGTCGCCTCATATCTTAAATATGTTTCAATGGGTGGAATATCTAGCAACGTTTCCAGAGCCTTGGTTGAAGTAGTACCCATGGCACCACTTATACCCAAGCAGCATGTACGCTGAACTCCCTGTAGTAGTTTGATATTACACTTTTTGTCCAAAGCAGTCCATCAGATTATTGAAGCATAAGCTGGAATTGGTCAAATTACACTTTTATAAAGCAAATTTGTCATAGTGGGACTAAGACCCCATTTCATGCCTAAAGTTCTCCTACATACTGCCCAGCACCAATGTGCCTTGTTGATCCTTTTAGAGCAATGTTGAGGACCAGTACAGTCAGCAAATTAACAGCATAAGCATGTTATTCTATTGAAACTCCTGGAAGGGAAGGATCTCATGCATGTATAGATCCAAGTTTCAATGAAAAGTTAAGGAATCCAGGCATCATAACAAATCGATTAGATTTCTTCGCTTTGTTATGACAAGAATTGATTCAAAAATACGTCAATGGTTTTAGGCCGAAGTTGAGGTTTTCTTTCAAACGTTGAGGTTCTCTTTCAAACGTACATTCAGATGAGATTAAATTTCAGCTCCTGTCTGATATAGATCGTGCAATCGATTGCCTTTATTTCTCCAGTACTATTGACGGACATCGGCTAGAATCGATGAAAGATTTGGAAGATTTAGCCAAAAACTAAATGGACGCCATCGATGAAATACACTACTAAGCTTTGTAATTTTTGGAGGCAATTTTTCAGTTCTTGATCACAGCAAGGAATCGATTTCCTCGGGATCTGCTACCAACGTGGCCTAATAAGTTGACTGCAACTTGGTCGCTAAGCTTTGAAGATTCGATCGATTTCGAAGAACTTGCCAAGACAAAATTAACGACTTCGATTGTCAACATTTGACGTCATAAGGTAGATAGATATATAAAATCCGAAGAAATAAACCTAAATCAGGTGGGAATCGAACCCACCACCTCCGGCCTACTAGAACACTAACCTACCGGAGACCACTTTACTTTAATCATATGTTTGGATACCTTATTACATTCGATCAGGAGAAAAGTGCAAATGAGCAGAGACTGTATGTTCGGCATAACGATTTTGAACCGTTATCGTTAATTTGAGAATGAGTAAAAGAAAGCCGAAGAACGAAAAACTTTGCTAATGAAGATATACCTTGAATTAGATCAAAATGCAGCCGTTTTAGGTCTTCATCGTCAATGTTTGCATTGAATCTGATAACTTTTAGAAATTTCGATGCGAAATGGGTTAATGTCATTTGATTTGAATCATATTTCTACACGCTGAAATTCCAAAGAATAATATATGTATATGTAAATCAAAGAAAATGGGGTAGTAATATCGTTCAATGCTGGATCATTTGAAGTTTTTGGGTAATAGCATTTTACTAATTCGGAATTTCTGGCACAAATTCTAATAAAGTTTTAGCAATTTCTAAAGGACACACATTAATTCCAACGAATTTAGGTACATTGTAGTCAAATACTCAAGCTGCTTATCCGCCAATATATGTAGTTGAGCAAACGGGGAAATGTTTAAAAAAATATGATTGCTAAAAAAAAATTTACCTTTTCAAAATTGCCATTAAAGTGGCGATTGGACTATAGTAATTTCGTAATATTTTTTAATATAAAATTATTGGTGTAAAATATTAAAATTATGATATTTTTCAAATTCAAAAATATATTATTAAGTAAAAAAATTTGCATTAGAAAAAAAAATAAATTAAAATAATATATGGCATCCAAAGAAATAAAAAAATTTAAAAAAGAATTGAGTGAAGGAAAATACAGAGAAAAATGTGCTTTAATAAAACTGTGATAAAACAGAGCTTGTTTTTTAAATGAAATAAAAAATGAAGGTGCTTTCAGGTGCTTCATAAAGAAATTAAAATAAAAATGATAATTTAAAAACCAAAAATTTGTTAACCCTTTGCTTTCTAAAGGGAAAACCTACTTTTTATCTTCTTTGCCATTGGGGGAAGCGGTAGAATTACGATCTAAGCCATCGGTAACCATGGCATCACGCACTAAACTTTGCAACAAGGTTCGATCGCAATAATAGGGCTCTGCCTTGCGAGAACCTTGAACATTCATGTGTTGGGCAAAATGACCCACAGGTGTTGCACCATGTAGACTATGATGAGGTTGGGGTGATTTGGGTCGCACCTTAAAAGAAAATAAGATAAGAAATTTAATTAATATTTATTTTCCTTAAAAGTATGAGTTATATATGTTATTCTAGTTTCTAGTTTGCTTACCGACATCCATTTCCAACCGGGTCTACCAGCTCTAGCCAAAAAGTGCAACACCTGCTCCTCGGGCGAACCAAAGCTAGGCTCTTGATCTCTAGAACCCGAATATTCACCAGAACTTTCTCGTTCTTTCTCCAAATCGCTAACACTGTTGTACTCACAATACACCCAATCGGGATGGACACGCCAATTGTCTCCCTTAAAATATTCGGTAACTGGAAATGTTAAAAGAATTTAGATTAATTTGACTTTGAAATAGTTTAAGTTATATTAGGCTTAGCTTACCATTTTTACGTGAATGTCTAATTTCCTGTTGAGAGACCAATTCATGGCTGCCATATTTTTCTGGTAATACAACAGCTAGCGTAAATGGTGTATCCTCAATGGGACCATAGAAATATCTAAGATAAGCAAAGAAAGTACATTTTCAAACACTACAAGTAAATGATTCCAAAAAAATTCTCTTACCTTTGAGTTCTTGCGCTAACACGTTTCATATCATCGTAATGATTTAAAATAGTGAATTCAGTTTCACCCTCTTTGGGCATAATCATATCACTACGCATCTGGGGTATAACAAACAAGAACAAATTATTAGTTAATAAACTTAAATCTTAATATCACCTAAAACTTACATCATACAATAGATTCTTATTCATTTCCACAATCTCATGATCATTACCAATTTCAGTTTCCGGCAGCTCCAACTCCGTTATATCGACCGATGTATAGCGTGGTCTCAACTGATCTATATACTGATTACCATCACTCAACGGACGCAAATCAGGATGATAGAGTACACGACCATTATTATCAACGATAAACGAATATCCATTCGGTCCTAATTTATGTTGCGGTATCATTTTACGTATCTCCTCTACGGGGACATCTGTGCCCACAACACCCAATAAATTTGCTACACGTACCGAATGGTTGCGTCTATCGAAGACCGGAGTTGAAACTGTCGTCACCAAACGTCGTTGATATTCGGAATCACGTGCCAGACCACCCGATTTACCGGCCATAAAGACCGGACTCCAATGTACCGGGTGATCAGCTTGATACATAATCATGGGACGAGCCATAACTAAAGCATAGTCCATAACTTTACGTCTGGCATCATCTAGATCGTTGATTTGTACAAAGAAACCTTTATTGGAACAGGCCATTTCGTGTAGATTACTGCGACTTCCCGAATCTGAACCAATTAAATAGGTGAAAATGCGTACCGGCATATGGGGCCAATTGTATTGTTTAATGATCTCTTTATGAGATTCTGAGGAACTTTCGGTTAATAGCATTATTGCCTGGTTACATTGACTGCCCTCGCCGGATTGGTTGTACTGAAAAAGGGGAAAAGGAAAGTAGGTTTGTATATGTATAGTGAGGAGTTTATAAGAGAATTACTTCAGTTGAGCAATTATGTCTTTCTTAAAATAATTACCTTGTGCAATAAGCTAAATGCATATTCCAAGCCTGCGGTAAAATTCGCAGTATCTTGAAGCTTAATAGCCTTAACGGCCGATTTGATTTCCTGAACATTATCGGGAGTAGCTCGTACCATGCGATCTTTAAAGCAGGGGACCGGTGTCTTAATAACATCAGCAAACGTTATCAAATTAACGAAGTCATTTTCACCCAAAGTATCTAAAATATTAAAAGCAGTATCCATGGCCAAATCAAAAGATTTCTCCGACATGCTCGAAGAAGAATCCAATAAAATCATCTAAAAACAAAGAAAAATAACTTTAAGAACACAAAGCTCTAAAACAACAACAACTCACTATATCCTTAGGCGATGAGGCGGCCTGGACAAACCAATTCTGCGTACGAAAATCATGTATCTGCTTGCTACCCTTCGAACCCTCCGGTGGCCAGGCGGTACCGGGAAAACGACGCAGAAAACCAGACGTTGAGCCAAAATACTGCCACGACAAAGCCGGATCTCGCTCCAAGTTGTTCTGGAACAGTGGATCCAAATGTGAACTCCACTGTAGTGCTGCCTTAACGTCTCCCTCATCCAATGAGACACCATTAGGCACCAGAATCGAACTTAGACTGAGATTAACGGGTAGTCGCTCAAAACGTCGCATAAAACGAATATCCATATGTCTAGCTCCATCGGCCAATTTACCATCGGCATTGTATTCGTTAATGCGTCGTGCATCGTAATGTTGATTATTCGCCGTAGCCGAATGTGAGCTTTGCGCATCCAGTTCCGATAAGGCGGCCTGTTCCGCTGAGTCCATAATGCGCTGAAATTAACAAAATTTCAAAAAACTATATAATGTTTGAACTTAACATTTTCATTTTGTTTTAACGTTTTATTTAATCTTTAAGTAGCAAATTTTATTCATGTGCAAAATTCGTATGTAAAACAAAACTTTGCTTTCAACTCCTAGTGGAGTTTTCTTTCTCTGTTATTTTTCTCTTTATACAATTTATTCAACCCCTTTTGTTTGTTTATATTAGTTATAGTGTTTATGTTGTATGTAGTTGAGTAGTCGTAGTGCAAATAGAAGTTTCTTTTCCTTATTTTTTTAATTTTTTCGATATATTTTAAATTATACAAAGCTTTTGCTGAACTACTATACTAGGAACTTTCTCACACACACACACACACTCACTCATATGGCAATAGCTGTTGTTTGCTTGGCTGCTCTTTGTTAAATTTAATTTCCGAAAATATTTAATAATGTTTACTAGATTTTAAAGAGCAATAAAGGAGCAGGAATCAAACTTTCAATTTAATATGTTTTCTTGGTATTTAAGGGCTTAGTCCCCTTTGTAATATCGAGTGTTTAAGAAAGGATTCTAGGGGTTTAGAATCTATCATGTACTTTTGGAATAGGGATTTTCCTAAAAGAATATTTAGAATCAGAACGTCAGATATTAATTTTTAAAATGGAAAGCATTAGTTTAACAGGAATAACCCATGGAATCCCTACAAGATTCTGATACCTTTCGATATTCTTTGGTCGGATGATAACAGGACTAAGGTCCCTATTTAAACTCTACTAAACTCAGTTAGCGAATAAAAAGTCATTACTTTTGAGATGAGCAAACCCAAGTCTCGATGAAAAATTGATCAAGTTGAAGTCAGCGAAAGTTGTTGTTTACAATGGCGAATCGATTTCTCCGGCATCTGCCATACACTTGGACCATAATCGTCTGTGGTTTTCGCTTATCTGGAGTTGTTTCAACCTACGGGTTAATCTTGAACTTGGTCGCATGGTTTGAATAATCCACTGCCAGAATGAATTGCTGATCGTGAGAACGAGAAGAAATAAATTGAATGACTAGAATATAAATCCGAAATTTTTCAGTAATTGCATCGAAATGCTTTCGTATTAGTTGTTCTAAGACGAAACTCATCCTCAAGAATCGAATAATGCGAATCAAACCATTATGATACTTGAGACTAGGAACATCTCAAGCAAGAATGTTGTTATCTTCGCTAAAATTTCCGAAACTTTTTGATAAACTGAGACGGAAAAACGATGATGAGAAGTCCGTTAACTATCGGTAACTTCGAACACTTGGGACTTGGTAATATCTCATAGTTGACTAGATTAAAAAATCAAGAGCTAGCAAGTGGGGTATTTTTAATTTTCGAAACACGATGGAGATTAACTGAAAATCTTAGGACCATCCCTAAAGCAAAAGATATTTACATCAGTAATGACCATTGATACAACTTATATATCCATTCCTAATGTCATGGCGACGCGAAATTTGGTTGACAGTAAAGGTTTGTATAATGTGAGGTATAATTGACAGCCGCTTGAGTCAAAGCTCACTTGGGTTCAAGTAAGGTCACTTTGTGTTACACTGTTGCTTTATCTTGGCAGTTATTCTTTGTAGTTGGTCGATTTATTTCAGCGTTTTGGTTTTTATAATGAAGATCATCGTTTTAATGACAACTTTTCTTCATGACAAAACATTTCACACTTAAATCACCTAATGGAGAGCTGAGTGACTTCATCTTCGTTTTTGCAAATTTTACAAAACTTGTTATAATGAGGACACGTTATCTATGTATACACAATCATCGATCATGTCCGATCGCATACCAGACACAGAATATGTCGGGAACTTAGAAACACTGATCCCAGATAGAATGTCATGGTCAAGCGGAACGTTGAAGCAGATACCCAAGAATGGCACGGATGGCCTTAAACTGGGGGACAAAGTGAGACTGTGTTTCTATATTGAAGTCCCAGTAACAATCCCTACACTAGCATTCATGCTGAAGTCCGAGCAATAACGGAATACGTAAATTGAATTCGAATAAATATAACGCCAATAAGGATTAACATATTTATCGACAGCCAGAAGGCTGTTAGAGCGATATCAGGTGAAAAAGTTAAATCTAAAACCGTATTGGCTTGTATGAAAGCTGTAAGTGAATAATCTCCCAAAGGTAAGGTTTACAGGGTACCAGGCTACTCGAAAGTAGTCGGCAACGAAAGTGTGAAAGTAATAGCTTTAAAGGGAAGCAAACTCGAGGTAGTTAACCTAACGAAGGCAAAACCTTTTACACAATCAGAATTCAAAATATGGGCGAGAGAATCCCATAAGACCTCTTGGAATAATAAAACGGTGGGTAGAGCCGCAAAGCGACGAAAGCATGGTGAGAGGCTTCCACAAAATGAGCAAGTCTGAGGTTAGTACGATGGTGCGTATTCTAAGTGGACACACAGGATTATGAATACAGCTTACCCAAATTCGAAGTGAGGATTTAGGCGAATGTAAAGCATATAGAGAGGAAAGTGAAACCGGAAAGCACTTTATTTTCCATTGGCAGGCTTTCGCCGAAATTGGATCCAAATATCTTGGGAGTGATATTAACACTCCTCGGATATAACATCTCTCACGAAATTGCGACCAGACAGTTGAGTTTCTGAATATCGGCCGATAATACATGTAGTTTTTGTTTTTACCAGCAAAGATTTTCTATGAAAAGGAACGCTTAACATGCCCAGTAGTGGCCTAGGATATGATGTAGATACATTCTTCCAACAACCTAACCTATTATATGGCAGTTGTAGCTTCTGTGATAACCACAAGGAGATTTCTGAAATGAAATCTTGCCAGGTTTTTAGCCTCTTTCGGATATGATATAGATTCATCCTCCTTGCAACCTAACCTGTTATATGGAAGTCGCAGCTTCTGTGCATGTGACTTTTGATAACCACAAGGAGATTTCTGAGATAAAATCTTACTATTAAGTCCTGGAAAACATGTTAAAGTTATCCTCCAGAGATGCCTGGCATTTTTGGACTACCTTTAGCGTGGTATTAACATTCTCAAGGTATTAGAGGGCTGACTGCCTATTAATAAGTAAGTGGAACTCTGTTAAATAACCCATAATACTGTATATGTTCGACAACTGTGGTGGCTGTATTTTCAGTTTATAGTATACTTCAGTAGTCGGCTATCCCACAAACATTCTTATGTTTAGCTGTTTCGAGTATATAAGAAACAGTAAACGCCTGCACGCTTTATTGATCCATAGGTGAATGTAGATTAGATATCTCTGAAAGAATTTGTGGATCTCTGCTAGTAGTTTCGAAATTACAAATAAGTAATTCGAATTTACAAATGGTGAACCACATCTGCATATTAAATCCCACAAAAATATCCAGCTTTAACTTGAAATTCTTTCTAAAATTCTTTTTGAAAGCTTAACTAAATAAAATCTGAAAATTCTTTAGAATCTCTGCCATGCATTTTAAACTCCCCTATAAATTCTATTTAAAATATTTGAAATTCTTTCAACTTTAAAAGCTTCCATTTCTATTTTAGTCATATTTATATTCACAATATTTTTTAATCTGGCTGTAGAATAAAAACTGCAAAAAAAATCCAACTGAAAGTAGAACAAATGTGAAGAAAGTAGCTTCAGTGCATCCTTTATTAACAGTTCTGGAATACACGGTGTCATAATAACAAGACACCTGCTGATGTAAAATACAACGAAATATGAATTTACAAACACTCATATAAATTTACATACTCAAATACTTAGATACAAAATATAAAAAAAAACAAACATAGACACAAAATTCCTATTATGAATGAACGTCGCAACGAAATAGCGTGAGTGAGTGAGCGAAGGGACGACTGAACGAATGAAGGAGATGATGTTAAGCAAAAATATGTATGTAGTTTTTTTCAGAAGATTGGTTTTGAAGAGGTGAAAAGTAGAAAAAAAAGACGAGGTGTTTTCTATAATTTTGTAAAATTGAAATGAAAATTGTCGCTCAGATTGTTTCAAAGGATCATTTTCCATCCTTACAAGCGATACTCTATTCAAAAGATCTAATACTCTAAGATTGAAGCTCCAATTTCGCAAATAAATCTGAATCTGAATCTAAATTCAGATCAAAGGACCATTTTCCTTTCTTATAAGCGATACTCTATTCAATAGATCTGATACTCTAAGATTGAAGCTCCAATTTCGCAAATAAATCTGAATCTGAATCTAAATTCAGATCAAAGAACCATTTTCCTTTCTTATAAACGATACTTTATTCAATAGATCTGATACTCTAAGATTGGAGCTCCAATTTCGCAAATAAATCTGAATCTAAATTTTATCTAGTGCTATTCAGAAAGTCAGTTTCCAGTGTTCTTGAGTAATGTTATACCCGGAACAATATGACTCCCAAGACGTCTAATTTCGATGAAAGTTTGACAATATCAAAGACACGGTTAAAAAGTTTTCGATAAACTCGGATAGGGCCAAATGGAAATCGGTATCTGAAGACTTCTTGGTAACGGAAATATATTTCGAGAAAATGCCTCAAAAACCGATTATGGTTAGGAATTAGAAATTATACGATAGATTTACAATATAAAGTTTTTTCTGGGTTTTGGACAAAAAAGCTTGACTTTAGAATATCTCCTTCCTAGTTTAAAGATGATAGGGATTCCAATCTCATAAAGAATTCCAGCTTCTATGATTCTGAAACAAATCTCAGTCATGACTTTTATTAAAGCTATCTAAAAAACAGATCTTTCTCTGGAGTCATTATGGGTCAACTATTTTTGTCTCTTTTCTCCAATCACTTACAAATTTACCTACCTCTCAACTCTCTGTACACGTTAACAATTACAAAAAAAAAAAAACTGCTACTAAAATATTTTCAACAGTATAGAATTTTATAATCTTCGCCGAGAAACTAACATACACACACAAACTCAACCAAACACATACTCTTGCATACTAGGGATGCCAATGATGCGTAAA